CATTGCTTTTGCACCGCTTTGCAGCGCCTTGTGTTGCGTTGCTCTGCGCTGCGTCGCATCGCGTTGCATTGTTTGGCCTCGCATTGCATCGCATCGCATGGCATGGCATGGCATGGTTTTGCATTGTAATGCATTGATCTGCACTGCTTTTCACGTGTTTGCATTGCTTCGCATTGCTTTGGATTGCTTTGCTGCCCATAGCATTGCAGCGCATTGTAATCGCATTGCGTTGTAATCGCTTGAATTGCACTGCTTGACGCCACACAGATAGCACCACGCGGAACGCATCACCTGAATTTGCACCACACTGATGGCACCACCTAGATTGCATCGCATAGCCTGCAAGAAAGCACTGCTTGGGGACCACGCTGGCTGACCTGATGTTGATGCCGCTTTCTGAGCTTCGAGGGAGGAGGAGCCAGTCGTCCTCGGACCCAGCTTGAGGTCGAGGAGAAAGAGTATCGTGCTGGGAGGAGGGGATTGGCAGGATGAAGGGCATGAGCGATAGCATCCGGATGCAATCAGCGAGACCTTCGGCCGCCTACGGGTAATGTTAAGTCGGGCCTGTCCCCCTACAGGGGGATTTTCGACGAAAAATAAAAAATACCCCAAAAATAAGCAAAAAATAATCCGAACATAGTCTGGGGACTATTTTTTGAATACCTTTTGGGATTTGGGGTGTATTTTGGGGTATCTTTTTTATTTTTCGTCGAGAATCCCCCTGTAGGGGGACAGGCCCGACTTGAGGGTAACGATATCCCCACTTCCTCCCAACCCGATCCTCCCAACCCGACGACTGCCTTCACGAGGGGTGGTCCGGGCGCCCGCGCGCACCCCCCGCGCGCGGGCCGCCGCCCCTTCCGACGCGCACGGGGCCCGCGCGCGGCGCTCGCTGCCCGGAGCTGCCACGGGGCAGGGCCCTGCCCTTCCAGAGAGCTATTTTCTAGTACTGGAGACCTAAGATCTTAAAAAGCTGAGCGAAACGGCCTAAAACCAAGACGTCGATGAGCTTTGGGATAGGTTTTTAAGTCGGGTGTTATTTTTTAGCCCTCCTGGAAGGTCAGGGGGGGGGCAGGAGGGCCCAAATCGAACTGAGGAGCCGGATCGGCGATCGACATGAATCCTGACCGGGGGAGATCGGCAGCCGAGCCGGGAAGAATCGAATCGGCGGAAATCGGCAGGCTCGTGTGCGCGTCCAACGAGCCATCGGAGCCCCGAAATCGGCCTCCGAAGCCGAAGCTACCCGAACCGAACGCCGTCGACGTCGGATCGACTCGAGCCCGAGGAGCCGAAACGAGCCCTGGGGGATGGGGGGGCAGGGGCGGGGGGGGGGGCGAAGCTCGGGAGCGAGCCCCTGGAAGGCCCACTGGGGGGGGGGGAGCTTCGAGGTGCCCCCCGCCGCTCCCGCCTCCGGGGCGCGGCGGAGGAGAAGGAGGAGGAGGGGGAGGAGGAGGAGGAGGAGGAGAGGAGGAGGAGGAGGAGGAGGAGGAGGAGGGAGAGGAGGAGGAGGAGGAGGAGGAGGAGAGGGAGGAGGAGGGGAGGAGGAGGAGGAGGAGGAGGAGGAGGCGGAGGAGGAGGAGGAGGAGGAGGGGCGGAGGCCCGCCCGAGGCAAGAGCGCCCCCCCCCAAAAAACAAATCCCCCCGAGCGGCCGGCCCCCGGGGAGGGGTGCCTCCTCGGCCGCGAGCCCTCCGCGCGGCCTGCCGGGGCAGACGGCCGGTCGTTGCCGAGGCGTCGCCCCAGAGCGGCGGTGGTGGAGGCTTGCAATAGACGAGCGCGTATGTGTTCGGTCTGCGGGTCTAGAGGAAAAAGAACTATGCACATGCACCGATTCTGGCCAGGCCCATCCTGAGCCCAGGATCGGTGCATACGCCCTCCTACCTTGGCCAGGAAGGCATATGCACCGATCCTGGGTCAAAAATGGGCCTTGCCAGGATCGGTGCATGTGCATAGTTCTCTTCGCCCGAGGGTCGAGAGCGAGCCTCTTCCGGCTAAGAGCTAGGCGGGCCGCGCAAAGCACGAATTGGGGAGACAGAGCACAGGCGGGCGGGGCCTCAGGCGGCCAGACGAGCGGGCTCCACTGCTCGCAAAGTAACTACTCGCAAATGGCCTGGATCCGCCGCGGGGGATCAACGGTACATTTCGTCGAGACAAAGGTATGTGCTTGTTTTCGGACGTCTGCGAGCAGGCACTCTGCGAGTAGTGAAACGCGCTCGGTGATACAAGGGGGCCAGGATTAGGACAGGCATGTCCTCCCACAGGCGGATTGTGGGCGGAAAACTAAAAAGCAGTCAAAACAAGTACTTGAAAATAGCCGGATGGCACTCAAAACATCGTACCGAAACTATGTTGTTTACTATGTTTGAAGATTCCTCCTGTAGAGGGGCAGGCCCGACATAAGGCAAGGAACACCGTCTTGGAATGTGCTCTTTGTCCGAAGAAGCGACTCCTCCCACGCGGCGACCGTGGCAGCGCAACCGATTCCCTCGCTGCTCCCGCGCGCCCAGGCCGGCAGAGTAGCTGCTGAACTTCTGTCTTCAGCATCGCTTCTCCATATTATAATGGGGGCACGCGATTTGTTTCAAAGGGAGCGACACGATTAAAAACAGTTTCGCGGGGGGGGGGCGGGTAGGACGCGAATAGATCGCGCGCTCGCGGCGGCGCTCGAGGGCGCTCGGGGCCGCGCGCCGCCGTTCGAGGGCGCCGTATAATACGCAGGAGGTTTCACACACATGCTCGAGCAGGTGCCCAATCACGAGGGGAGGAGGGTGAAGGCGAAGGCGAAGGGGAGGTCGGCCATAGCTTCCAAGGGCCCACCCTGCGCTCGCTGGCCGTCCCGGCGGGCGCCCCGTGTGCACGCCGCGCGCGGGCCTCCTTCCTGCGCGACCGGGCTCACCGCACTCGCGTCCTCCAGCTCGACCCTCGGCCTCGGGCTCGGGCTCGGGCTCCAGCTCGGGCTCCAGCTCGGGCTCGGGAGTTGGAGTTTGGCTCGATCTCGAGCTCGAGCTCGGGCCCAGTCTTGAGCTCGAGCTCGAGCTCGGGCTCGGGCTCGCGCTCTGACCCGGGCTCGAGATTGGACTTTCTGGGCCGGGGAGGGAAAGGTCCAAGCTGAACCCTGGGCGGCCCACGTGGGCCCTCTAGCAAGCGCCCTCGCCGCCGCGCCTCCGCTCGGTCCGCTCGGACCCGCTCGCGCTGCGCCGCGGTGGCGCAGCGCTGCCACGGGAAGAGTGCCCGTGGTCTGGCCGATGGCTGCGGCCGTTTGGACCCCGCGGGGGCTGCAGAGAGAGGGGGACGGGCTGCGCCTCAGCCTGCGCACGAGGCAGGAGGGGGCAGAGCAACAACCGGCTGCATCAACATAAGCTCTCGGAGGTCCGCGCGGACAGGCCTCGGACAAAAATAGCGAGCACTCATGCCACATTCATCTGTGACCGCCTCCCCCTCCCCCCAATGTTCAAAGTTGGCGGTGGGTCTGATGAGCTGCACCTCGACCGCAGTCCCCCCCGCGCGTGCCAGCCTTGAGTCTGGGGGGCGAGGGGGGGGTGTTCACTGATTGTTTCCCTCTATACCGGGACTTCCAGAGCGCGCCAGGGGGGGGCACCCGAGGCTCCGCCAGGGGGGGGGGGAGGGGGCCGAGGCGCCGATCCGAGAGATCCGAGCGGAGCTCCGACAGCTTCTGCGCTTGATGCGCACGGCTTCGAGGGAGGGAAAGGGCGGGGACCCAGACCCCCGACGTGGTGCTCTTCCCTGACCGTCCAGGCGGACTAAAAAATAGCACGCGACGTAAAAACCTATCCCCCAGAGCTATTCTGCGTCTTGGTTTTAGGCTGTTTCGTTTCGTTGTTGAGGTTTTTAGGCCTCCCGTGCTAAAAAATAGCTCTCTGGAAGGTCAGGGTTGTTTCACAGCGTGGACCCAGGACGGGACCCGGGACCGGATCTTCGTCCTCAGTCGTTGCGTTGACGGCCCCGTGGTCGGGCGGGGGCCTCGTGGGGGCCGAGAATGGCAGAACGCCTCCCGTCGTAGCTTCTCGGTCTGCTCTGCGCATGGTTCGGAGCTGGCGTCAGGTCGGACGCGTCCCCCTGCAAACGGATTTGGGAGAAAAATGAAAAATATAAGAATATGCAACAACAGTCCAAAATAGTGAGGACAAGAAACGTTCCCAGACTATTGTTTGACCATTCTGAATATTCCTCCTGAAGCGGGACAGGCCCGACTTACAGCTAGCGCAAAAACTGGAGCGCTAAAGCTGACTGAGAGAAATTAGCATATCAAGCATCTTGAACTCGCGTTTGGCAGGGTCGGAGCGCCTTAGAGCAGAAGCTTCGAGTCCCTTCGCTTCAGATCAGGATCAGAAGTGGCCAGGAGCACAGGACTGTCCAAAACAGCAAGCACGCCGTGACGTCCCTGCGGGGACAGCAAGCGAGTACAACCACATCGAAGACATACCCTGGGGGATGTCTTGCGCCTGCCAACAATCGTCATAACACCTCAACCAGCTTAGTATTGGTCGTCGTCGACGTGACGTCCCAAGACGGCCAGATCGAACACTAACACAGCCAGAGTGAGCACACCGAGGTCGGCGGGTTCTTCCCGGGGGGACCCTCAGAAAATACATTTGGCTGTGGCCGTGGTTCTTTGTTGCGCCCGGAGTCTGGGGAGGCGGCAGCGGTGAGGAGCTTCGTTGGGTGGACTACAAGTGTCCACACACGTCTCGCCAAGACATTGAGCTACCAAAGCACGTCGGACCCAAATGTATACCCCCCCTTCCCCAAATTCAGAGTTTACGGGTTTGGGCGGTAGGCCAACGGCCGGGGACAACATGTGGACACTTCAACTTTGAGGGGGGAAAAGTGCGACGCAAGGGCGTTCCGCAATTGTGGCTGTTATCACGCTGCGTCGCCTTACCGCAAGGGGTGTGGACACTTGTTGTCCGGGCATGGTCCCCTCCCCTCATCCCGCGAGCCGCGAGCCGCGAGGCCCCCGCCCGGGGGCGGCACCGCGGGCCTGGCGCAGAAGTCCGCGGCCGCCGCGCTCCCGCGCAGCCCCGCGCACAGCACGAACAGCGAGGCGGGCTTGTCCATGAAGTCCAGGGGCTGCTTCAGCAGGAATCCTCAAGGGGCCTCCTCCTCCTCTTCCTCCTCCTCCTCCTCCTCCTCCGCCTCCGCCTCCTCCTCCTTCTCCTCGTCCTCCTCGTCCTCGTCCTCGTCCTCGTCCTCGTCCTCCTCCTCCTTCTCCTTCTCCTCCTGGTAGCTCGAGGATCGAGGATCTGAGACCAGGTCGTTGCAAGTGTTTCACACAAAGCGTTTCCACCCAAGCTCGGACCCTGGGACCGTCACAGATCGATCCAACTCGCAGCACTCTACATAAAGGCAGGGTCTAGGGTACTGGTCGTGAGTTTTCACGATGTTTCAGCTCTCTGCCACCTTCAGATCTCAGGGATCGAGGACTCCCGCTCTGTCCTCCTTGTCCTCTTCATCTTCCGCATCCTAGTCCTCCCCCTCCCGCTCCCGCTCCCGCTCTTTGCCCTCTCGTTCCCCATCCCTCCCCGTCGCTATCGTCGTCGTCATCCTCCTCCTCTAACTCCCCTTCCTCCTCCCCCGTCTCCACCTTCTCCTCCTCCTCCTCCTCCTCCTCCTCCTCCTCCTCGCCTTGCCGACGGCCACCCGAAGCCTAGTGTGCGGCTGCATATGTCTATAAGGGACGGAGGGGGCGCTGGCAAGACAGTGCGAGTTGCGCACTCCCGATGAGCATCCTCGCAAGCACCTTCACAGGTTAGCAAGCTGGGGCAACACCAGCCGATCCTCCTGACATCTTGCGCGGGTCGCCGTCTCCTCTGCCATTGGGCTGCCCATGTGTTCTTTTCTCTACTAGCCCATTCCGCCACACCTCAGGACGTCGGGGATGAATCGGATCTGGAATTGCGGCCCGAAACCAACGGCGCAGGCCGCTACCATCCACGCATGTCGTGGTTCACAGAGCCCGACACTATCCCTATCCAACACTGTTGTTAGGTCAGGGGTCCCAGGGACTCGCTCTGGATGCCTGGGGATACTGGATCCTCGGTGCCCCACTTCTCCGTCGTGCCGTCGACCAGATGTTTCCAGAGAAGCCCCCGGACGATCGAGGAGGAGGAGGAGGAGGAGGAGGAGGAGGAAGAGGGAGGAGGAGGAGGAGGAGGAGGAGGAGGAGGAGGAGGAGGAAGAGGAGGAGCTTGCACAGGCCGTCGGGAGCGAAGGCGTTGATGCTCGGGTCCGATGCGCGCCTCGTGGGGGGGCATCGTCCGAGGCGTGGGGGGGCTCGGAACGAGCCTTCGGGAGGCTTGGTGAGGCTTCCGGGGTGCCTGTGAATCTGTTGGGCTCGCTTGACCTCCCGCACCTGGGAGTTTCAAGGATTATGGTAGCGATCATCATTATCATCATCATCATCATCATCATCATCATCATCATCATCATCATCATCACCATCATCATCATCATAATCATCATCAGCATCATCATCATCAGCATCATCATCGTCGTCGTCATCATCATCATCATCGTAATCGTCATCGTCATCGTCATCATCATCAACATCTCCACCAGCAGCAATACCATGATGCTCATCGTCATCATCAGCATCATCATTGTAACGACTGGCATCCTCATCACGACCATTGTTCTCATGGACATCATCATCAAGACGATCAACCTGATCATCATCATCATCATCATCATCATCATCATCATCATCATCATCATCATCATCCTTATCATTATTATCAGCATCATGCTTATCATCATCATGTCCATCATCGCCAGCATCATCATGACCATGATGATCATCACAATCAAGGTCAGCAGTACAGACATCATCCTCGTCACCATCATCATCATCATCACCATCATCATCATCAGCATCATCATCACCAACTTCATCATCACTATCATAATCATCACCAGCATCATCATCACCATCATGATCATCATAACCATCGTCACCACCATGGTCATCATCATCATCATCATCATGAGCCCCATCATTACCCAACACCATTACAATGATCAACGTCATAGTCATGATGTTCAGCATCACCATGATCACCATGATCATCATCATTAACACTATCAGATGCATTACTCCGAACATCGTCATGATGACAATCATCAACATTGTCGTCGTCGTGCCGTCGGCCTGTTCTGCGATAGGCCTCTGGGAACATCGACCGGCTTCGTGTAGGGGTCTCGGACGGGGAACACCAGGGAGTGTTTCTCGTCATCCTCCTCCTCTTTCTCCTATGCATCCCCTCGCCCACCTTCCCCTTGTCGCCCCCCTCGCTCATCCCTACCCTGCCTATCCTCCTTCTCGTTCCTCATCCCCCCTCCCCTCCCTCGTTGATCAGTCTCTCATGCTGCTTTGTAGGTGGAAGAGCGGGCTGTGCAAGCGGAGGGGAATCAGAGAAGGAGAGGTAGAAAGGAAAGGGGCAGCATCATCATAACCATCATCATCATCAGCATCATCAGTATTCTCATCATAAGCAACGCCCTCATCAGGATCATGATCATGATAAGGATCATCACCAGCATCACCATCACCAACATCATCATCTGCATCATCACCTTCATCATGAGAAAGATCCTCAGCATGGTCATGATCATAAGCATCATCATCAACATTATCATCACCACCACTGACACCATCACCATCACAATCACCATCATCATCATCATCACCATCATCACCATCATCACCATCACAAACACCACCTTCTTCTTCTTCATCATCATCATCATCAGCAGCAGCAGCACTATCATCATCATCAGCAGCATCATTATCACCATTATTATCATCATCAACATCGTCATCATCATCAGCATCATCACAATCGCCATTACCATCATCATCATCACCGTCATCACCACCATCATCATCATCATCATCAGCATCATCATCATCATCATCATCAGCATCACAATCATCATCAACAATATCATCATCACCATCAGCATCATCAGCATCATCAGCATCAGCATCAGCATCAGCATCAGCATCAGCATCATCATCATCATCATCATCATCATCATGGGGACGTCTGCGCGACGGCGGATTGCGCGAGGGCGTGCGTGTGCGTGCGCGGGAGCGCGGGGCACAACCGACAACGACGACGACGTGCAAGGCAGGCATCGTCGTTTGCCAGCGGCGACGGACGCGGGCCACGACGAACGAAAAAGGAGGAACCAGTGCAGAGTAATGTCGGCAAGACCAGGTGGCGGAGGGGTGCGGCACGGGTGCTGGCGAAGCCGCGGGCGGGGCACGACGAAAAACGACGAACGAGTGCAGCGCAAATGTCGGCCAGAGGGGGGGGGGGTAGAGGCCTCCTAGATGGAGTCGGAGGATCGCGCCTCATCGCCGATGCACCGGCGATGCATCGGCTATGCACCGGCGGTGCATCGCCGGCGTCGGCGATGCATGGGCGACATCAACGTGAAGCACATCGGGCTCCGGATTAGGCCGCATCGGCGATGCATCGGCGATGCGGCGCGATCCTCCGACCCCGTCTGCTCCGACTCCACCTGGGAGGCCTGGAGTGGGGGAGGGGGTGCTGCGCGGGCGCCCGCGACGCGACGGACGCGGGGACGACGACGAACGAGTGCAGAGAAAATGCCGCGGGCAGGGAGGGCGACTGCGACCGGCGGATGCAGGGCATGACGACGAACGACCAACGAGCGCAGAATGAATGAATGAGGGGGAGGAGGAGGAGGAGGAGGAGGAGGAGGAGGAGGAGGAGGAGGAGGAGGAGGAGGAGGAGGAGTAGGAGGAGGAGGAGGGGGGAAGGGGGGGGACAAGGGGACAAGGGGGAGACGGAGAGGAGGAGGAGGAGAGAGGAAGACGAGGAGGGGGAGGAGGAGGAGGAGGGAGGAGGAGTGGGGATGCCGCGCGGGCGCTGGCGACGGACGCGAGGCACGACGAACGCCTGCGAACGAGTGCAGGGCAGATGTCGGCCACCAAAGGGAAGGGGGGTGCTGCGCGCGCGGCCGCGGCGGACGCGGGGCACGACGACGCACGACGAGCGAGGCACGAGTGCAGCATGAATGTCGGCAGGGGGGGGCGGGGCGCCGCGCGGGTGCTGGCGACGCGGCGCGGGGCATGACGACGAGCGACGAACGAGTGCGAGCCGACGTGTCCGCGATGGGGGGGGGGGGCACGACCGGAGGGATGAGGAGGAGGAGGAGGGGAGAGGAGGAGGAGGAGAGAGGAGGAGGAGGGAGGAAGGAGGAGGAGGAGGAGGAGGAGAGAGGAGGAGGAGGAGGAGGAGGAGGGGAGGAGGAGGAGGAGGGGAGGAGGAGAGGAGGAGGAGAGAGGAGGAGGAGGAGGAGGAGGGGGAGGAGGGAGGAGGAGGGAGGAGGAGGAGGAGAGGAGGTGAGGGGAGGAGGAGGAGGAGGAGGAGGAGGGGGGGGAGGGAAGGAGGAGGAGGAGTATGAGAGGAGGAGGAGGAGGAGGAGGAGGAGAAGCGGGAGAAGAAGGAGGAGAAGGGGAACGTGGAGGAGGAGGAGGAGGAGGAGGAGGAGGAGGAGGAGGAGGAGGAGGAGAGGAGGAGAAGGGGGGGGCTGCGTGGGCGCCGCGGCGGGCGTGCGGCGGAGTGCGGGGCTGGTCGCGAGGGGCGCCGGGCGACCGAGGCACGCGCGCGAGGGGCGCCGCGACCGAGGCACGCTGCGGCGATACCCCGGAGCACCCGGCAGCAAGGGCGGTGCGGGGCTCGCGCGGTGCGCGGGCGACGCGGCGCAGGGACGCGGGCGCGACGACGGCAACGGGGGGGGGCACGACGACGAAGGCAGGCAGAGGGGTGGATGGTGGCCTGGGGTTGCTGCGTGGGCGGCGCTCGACGCTGGGCGGGCGCGACGACGGCGGCGGGTGTGAAGTAAATGTTGCGCTGGCCTCTCCTGCTGCTGGCATGCGCGCGCCATGTTCGGAACTACGACAAGTACCAACAACGAACGCAGGTGTCTTGGGCAAGTAGTCTCACCGTGCGTAGCATGCATGGAACTCACTGCTCGTGTCTCTGCGCTCTGGAGTTCCCCCGTTCGCCTACCAGAAGTGCTCGCACGCCGAACGCTTGCCGCGCAAGCATGTCGC